TGAAAAAGCTCTAAAAGCCAACTGCACTTTACCTGCCCAGCACTAGAATAAGTCGAGGATGAACCTGACCAGACATTTAATGCCATCTTGTAGTTCATTTTGATCTTTACCAGAAAAGAAAGTATTGAGGTTTGATGTCCACCCCTCGCAGATGTTAAACAGCTATGGCGTGGTCTGCTCTTATCTCAGAACATGTGGCTGCCCATGGTTGGATTCACTGCCCTGCCACACCTGGGAGGGCTCTATGGCGGTTACATCACACGCAAAGAGGTGAAGACCTGGTACCCAACCCTACAGAAACCATCTTGGCGCCCACCAAATGCAGCGTTCCCTGTGGTGTGGACCTGTCTGTACACAGGCATGGGGTAAGCATCATCGCGACTGGTTCCTGCAGTCTTTAATTCTCTGTGATGGATTATTATCTAAATGGTCCTCTTAAATTTTCTTACGCAGATATGGCTCCTACCTGGTGTGGAAAGAGCTGGGAGGTTTCACTGAGGATGCACTGGTTCCACTGGGACTTTATGGGCTGCAGCTAGCTCTTAACTGGGCCTGGACTCCTATCTTCTTTGGGGCACACAAGCTGAAATTGGTGAGTTTAACACATATAATTATTTACTTTATTTGGAAGACCAAACGGGAAGAATGTGAGGCATGTAGCGAGTTTGACTGCTCAATATCTGTGCCCCTTTAATACCCTCTGTCTGCCCAATTTAGGCACTCCTTGAGCTTATGCTTCTCACTGGGACTGTCGGAGCCACCATAGTGTCCTGGTATCCCATCAGCCGCACTGCCACTCTGCTGATGGCGCCCTACCTTGCCTGGCTGTGCCTCGCCACCTCTCTCAACTACTGCATATGGAGAGACAACCCAGAGAAAAAAGAAGAGTAGGAGACAGTGCTGTGTGCTTTGAGCTAACTACATACATTTTGAATCATTTAAATGTCCAACTGACAATTGAAGTGAATGAAAATTGTCATGGATTTTTAAAATACATCCTTGGTGTGTATTTCAAGTGAAATGTAAAACTGCATTTATTTGCCTTTTTTATATAAAGAAAATCCCATGTGTGCATTTATGAAGAAGAGCCTTATGTTGTAGCTGCGGCTATAAAAAAAAAAATTAAAGTGTTCTAACAATACAGTGAGTTCATTCATTCAGTCTCAGTGGGCAACCAGCTCACAGCATTTGCTGGCCTCATGTCACTTTGCATAAACATGATTACAATAAGTTACATGCAGTGATGTATAAACTTGAGAGGAATTGGCGTTCCACCAAAGTGGAAAATTCTCGTTTAATTTGGCATGATAGTCTTAAAACTTATAGGAAGGCCCTCCGTAAAGCTAGAGCAGCGTACTACTCATCATTAATAGAGGAAAATAGGAACAACCCAAAGTTTCTTTTCAGCACTGTAGCCAGGCTGACAGAGTCACAGCTCTATTGAGCCAAGTATTCCCATAGCTCTCAGTAGTTACGATTTCATGAGCTTCTTTAATGATAAAATTCTAGCTATTAGAGACAAAATTCACCAAGACCTGCCCTCAACTGGCACCGACTTATCTCTTAACTCAGGAACCTTAGAAACAGCTGTAGAACCAGATATATGTTTAGACTGTTTTGCTTCCCTCAATCTTTACCAACTAACTTCAATAATTTCTTCATCTAAACCATCAACCTGACTCTTAGACCCCATCCCGACTAGGCTGCTTAAAGATGTTTTACCCTTAGTCAGCACCTCTATACTAGATATGATCAATCTATCTTTATCAACAGGCTATGTACCACAGTACTTTAAAGTAGCTGTAATTAAACCTCTTCTGAAAAAGCCCAAACTTGATCCGGATGTTTTAGCCAACTATAGACCTATATCTAACCTTCCATTTCTCTCTAAGGTTCTGGAGAAAGCAGTTGCTAAACAGCTGTGTGACTTTCTACAGAGCAATTTGAGGATTTTCAGTCAGGATTTAGAGCTCATCATAGCACAGAGAAAGCACTGGTGAAAATTACTAACAACCTCCTTATTGCATCAGACAAAGGACTTGTCTCTGTACTGGTTTTATTAGATCTTAGTGCTGCATTTGATACCATTGACCATCAGATCCTATTGCAGAGACTGGAATATTTCATTGGCATTAAAGGAACCGCTCTAAGCTGGTTTAAGTCCTATTTATCAGATCGATTTCAGTTTGTACATGTTAACGATGAGTCCTCCATGCACGCCAAAGTTAGTCATGGAGTTCCACAAGGATCTGTCCTCGGACCAATCCTCTTTACTTTATATATGCTTCCTTTAGGCAATATTATCAGGAAATATTCCATAAGCTTTCATTGTTATGCAGATGATACCAGTTATATCTATCGATCAAGCCAGATGAAACTCATCAGTTAGCTAAACTTCAAATGTGCCTTCAGGATGTTAAAACCTGGATGACCTGTAATTTTCTAATGTTAAATTCAGATAAAACTGAAGTTATTGTTCTGGGGCCTAAGCACCTCCGTGACGCATTATCTAAAGATATAGTTTCCCTGGATGGCATCGCCCTGGCCTCCAGCACCACTGTGAGGAATCTTGGCGTTATCTTTGATCAGGACATGTCGTTTAAGTCTCACATTAAGCAAATTTCAAGGTCTAAAAATGATGCAGAAAAACTAGTCCATGCATTTGTTACTTCTAGGCTGGATTACTGCAATTCCTTATTATCAGGCTGCTTGAAAAAGTCCATTAAGACTCTTCAGCTGATCCAGAATGCTGCAGCATGTGTTCTGACAGGAACCAGGAAAAGAGATCATATTTCTCCTGTCTTAGCTTCTCTGCATTGGCTTCCAGTAAAATCCAGAATAGAATTTAAAATCATTCTTCTTACCTACAAAGCTTTTAATGGTCAGGCACCATCTTATCTTAAAGAGCTCATAGTACCTTACTACCCCACCAGAGCACTGCGCTCCCAGAATGCAGGGTTACTTGTGGTTCCTAGAGTCTCCAAAAGTAGACTAGGAGCCAGAGCGTTCAGCTATCAAGCTCCTCTCCTGTGGAACCAGGTTCCAGTTTGGGTTCAGGAGGCAGACACCATCTCCACATTTAAGAGTAGGCTTAAGACTTTCCTCTTTGATAAGGCTTATAGTTAGGGCTGGCTCAGGTTAGTCCTGAACCATCCCTTAGTTATGCTGCTATAGGCCTAGACTGCCGGGGGATTTCCTATGATGCACTGAGCTCCTCTCTCCTCTACTTTCTCTCCCTCTGTATGCAACCTCATCCCATTATTGCATGTTACTAACACAACTTCTCCCATGGTTCTGCTCGAGGTTTCTGCCTCTTAAAAGGAAGTTTTTCCTTGCCTCTGTCGCCTAGTGCTTGCTCTTGGTGGGAACTGTTGGGCTTCTGTAAATAGCATCATAGAGTATGGTCTAGACCTGCTCTTTTGTGAAAAGCGCTGTGAGATAACTGTTGTTGTGATTTGGCGCTATATAAATAAAATTGAATTGAATTGAAAAAAGTATACAGATTTTACATTGGTTTCAGATTGGGAGTCATTATCTGCAATATCCAGAATTAAGGTATCGGAATTCTAAAAGATCTCTCATAGGCAAAGAGATGTCATCTGAGATAAAATGTTTATTTGTGTGTATAATGTTTTAGCACATGTAATCTTTTAGGAAAATCATGCAAGAAATGTACTAGGTGCAGTATATTGTGGCACTAGTATAAGATATCTGTGCCAGGTGTTTTTTTGCATTTAAGTAGATTCTAGTAGTAGTTACATGAGAACTTGAAAAGCAATTTCTGTAGAAATTGCGGTGTGAATGCTGGCTGTTGAATGGGCTTGCCCTAAACTGAATTGCTGTCTTGAAACAAGTTGAACAGTAAGGTATGAAAGATGTGTAAAGTTTTAAGGATTGTTGAAAAGCTGACACTAAACTGCATTACTGGCTTTAATTTGCATGAAGAAGCTGAAGGACTATGAAATTTTCTAAAGAATATGAATAAGACTTTAAAGCTGAATAAACTTGCACTGGTAAATGTTGAACATTTTAAGATTTGAATGTAGTTTTTAGTAGAAAGACATGAAGAAGTTGAAGAAATGTGAGAAAGTCACAAGTTTTGCGAAGACATGACCTGAAATCTTTAGAAAGGGGTAAGAAGACTTGGAAAAGTTTGAAATGGTGTAATTAGTATGAAGGTGACATAAGTGTATCAACTCCCACTGAAAGTCCTGGGTGAGCAGAATGACTCTACAGTGTTGAGTCACAGATTGATGGGGGTAGGTGTGTTGCTGGGCTCTTTCCTGTCCATCTCCACTGTCTTCAGAGCACTGAGGTCCAGATTGTTCTGGCTGCTCCAGGACCCCAGAAGGTCAGTCTCCCACCTGTGGGCAAACTGATCCACACAAGAGATGAGCCCAGTGAGGGTGGTGTTATCTGCACACTTCAGGAGCTTGGTGGTCTGGTGACTGGAGGTGCAGCTGTTTTTGTTCAGGGAGGAGAGCAGAGGAGAAAGAATGCATCCTTCAGGGGAACCAGTGCTGACGGTCCTGGAGTCAGAAACATGTTTTTCCAGCTTGATGTACAGCAGAACAACAGCAGAGAGGTGTGCGGGGAGTGAGGACTATCACAGGCATGAACAGGCAAGCATTTTTTTCAAAGCACACAGAATGGAGAGCTAGCGCACCGTCAGGAAATATTCACTAAATTTAACAAAAACTGTACTGGATTCAAATCACTTATTATCCTTTAAATATATTTTATCTGTTAAAATCGAACACACAGAAAAATTAACATGAACAAACAAAACCTTGCTGGAGGTAAATGTTATGCAATTAAAATCTGTGTATTTGAAGTATTTTTTATTACATTTATGATTGTGTAGCTACTTCCTCTCCAATCACCCTTTTTATATTTTGCTTTGTCTTGATCCCCCATAGCTACAGGCTACACAATAAACATCTGTAGAGTTATAATACTTTGTAAAGTCCATTACAATAGATAAATAACAAAACAGCCCATAATGATACAGACAATAAGCTTTATTTCTATACATGCAATGAGAAAAGAAAAGAAAAAGAGACGAGGAAGTTATTTTTCAGGAGCTTTCTCTGGAACGTCTTCTGGTGATTTGGAGAATCTCTCCATTAAGGTCTTCCACAAACCCTTTTTTTCGTCATCCATCTGTTGCACGTTCCCTGTACAAAAAAAAACTAACTAATTTTAACTTTAGGGGAGAGTAAGTGATCCTGCAGAAAGATTGTTGATATTTAAACTCAACTACCAAACAAATACACCCCTGCCTTCAGTGCTTCCTCAGAAGCTCCGCCGCCCCAAATTTCAAATCTCTGAGGTTTCTCCAGTGTTGAAACACCTTCGCCCTTGCCTGGTCATACAACTTTCGTCTCTGTTTATAATCTTCAGACCTTATCCTCTTTGGCTGTTTCTTAGCCATCTCTTCTTTCCCAACAGTGCCTGAAGTTCAGCACATGTGCCGGTGTATAGCACTCTCTCTCCCACTGCTCCGCTCCCCCCACACACCCCCATCACTCCTGTACACTGTGCATAAGAACAGGATCGAGGGGAAGCTACAGCAGAACAACAGCAGAGAGGTGTGCGGGGTGTGAGGACCATCACAGGCATGAACAGGCCAGCAGGAGCAACAGAGGGGACAAAGGACTGAGCCAATGAGTTAAGTTTTCAACAGGTTTGACTCAACAATGCTGGCTGGACCCCCCTCCCTCTCCCCCTCCCCAAGCAGCCTCACCTCGGTTATCCCCCCTCCAAATACATCCCTGCTACTCCAAAGGATCACTGCTCAGCAGCCCCAGCTCGCCTCCCCCCCTTAACAACTCTCCTACCTGCCCTCCCTCCCCCTCCATCTCAGTCTCCTCCTTCCACACCCCTTCCGCCACCCTTCTTTGACACCGTCCAACCTCTCCGGCCAGCTGCGAAGCTCTCCGTGATGCAGGTGGATCAGGACCTAGTGACCTGGATCACAGACTACCTCACTGACAGTCTTCAGTATGTCAGGCTGCATGGCTGCCTGTTAGATGTTGTGGCGAGCAACACTGGCGCCACCCCAAGCAACTGTACTGTCACCGTTTCTTTTCACAATCTACACTTCTGACTTTTGCTTTGACTCTGGAATGAGCTCCCTCCAGAAATTTTCAGATGTCAGCAAGGAGGAGTAGAGAGACCTGATTGAGAGCTTCTTTGGATGGTGTGATTACAGGTTAACTGTAACAAATGTGTGTTTTGTAAATACCTAAACATAAATGTGATATTGTGAGTCTGTACCTGACAAAAGCACTTTACATTCTTCCACTGTGACTCCAGTAAAGCTTGTGTCTCTTACACGAGGAAACTGTGAAGACACAAAGCCATGTTTACATTAAATATGTTAAAGTTTCACACAGTTATACACACTCATAAAACAGTTAAAATACATTGTTTGGAGGAAAAGGAGATTAAGTTCCACAGGAAAGACAATATTGTATGTCAGTGCTGGTTATTGGTAACCAAAGAGTATGAGTTTAGAGAGAACTTTGTACTTTTATGAATGAATGCTAAATAGTAACTGCCTTCCTTAGTTCTTCTTTACATGTTATTCCGTAGCTGGTATACTTAATGTTACAGACAGGGTAGAGACAGCTAATTAATGTTTTAGGCAAGAAAATAATTCATTAAATAGCTCTTAATCTATAGATAAAGCAGATGCACATGTGACATGTGAATATATAAAGTGTACTTACTCTTTGTCGGTATATGTTGCCGTTAATGCGGGCCAAACTTTCATACATCTGGTCGCACTTCTCTGGATCTGAGATCTGGTGGGGGAAAAAATATATTTAAGGGGCAAAAGTCACATGCTAGGAACAAAATTTCTCACTGAGATAAATGTGAACACTGGCAAAACTGAAAAGATTCCATACAAAAACCCAACTTCAGATATGTTACAACTACTGACATTTTATAGGCGAATAAAAAAAAGAAGAAATTATAAAAGTGCAAACATTTCAGATGTGCTTGAGACGTCCTCGAATATTAATGCTCCACAAAGAATACCATTTGGAATTTGGATAAATCTGACAAAAACCCACTTTTGGATTTAATTAAACTTCAACACCAAAAATTTTAAGTTGAGTTTAGTCCCCAGAAGGATAAATGAATAAATTGAAAATAAAAGAGAATTTGTTCCATGAAAATGGTAAAAAAAAAAACGGTAATGGAGTTGATATTCCACAAGGAAAGTTGATTTTATCACACCTCTGTTCCTGTTGGTGGATTCATTTATATACCTACTAAATAATGTGACCATTTTAGAGACTTAACAACACTGGAGCACCAGATGTGTTCAAATATAAATGTGTAAGCAGCATTTTTATTTTGCTGGACGGGGTAGAACACTTAATGGATAGTTTCATCTCTTTTAATGCATCATATCTATATCTTTGTTTGGGATCAAAATATTAACCTCAAGTATCAAGTAACTATAAGTCAACCTACATCGGCAGGCAGATATTATCGACCGATTTTAACTTATTAGAGCAACATTTGCACAGATATGTTGGCCGATAGGTAACAAGTACAATAAACTATATATTTTTTGTATTTGTGTGGTTGATGTGTTTATATTAATAAAGAATACCAGTCAATATTAGCTTCAGTATTAACTTAAAAATATCAGTCATAGTACCCTTAAAATAAATCAAGTGGAGTAAAAACAAAATTATTTTTCAGTAGCATAAATGTAAATATTTAAGTCCAAGTACCAAAAAATTGTACTTGTATACTGCACCACTTAAAACTTTACATGATGAAAATGTTCTGACTGCCTTTCCAGTCAGTTCCTTTAAGTTAATAATAATAATAATAATATATTTATTTATAGAGCGCTTTCAATCAAAGTCCTTCACAAAAAGAATACAATTAAAGTACAAACAGTACAATAAAGATTTAAATTAAAACACTAAAAAGTAAATACCACTATACAAAGACATCAAAGATAAACGAACATTTAGGACTCATAAGCAGCAGTGAGTAAGAAGGTCTTAAGCATAAGAGTAATGTGAGAAAGTACAAACCGATAACAGTACATTAGAATTAGCCTCTTAAGCTGCATTTATAATGTTCATAATAATAAGGTTAACAGGTATAAATAATCGACATGGGTAAGTGTAAACAACGGCAAGGTCGAGGGCAGTCGGCACCCTTACTATGTGTTATCCACTTAGCTCAGCTCGGGTGTTATGTAGCAGAGAGTCAGTTAAGCTCAGTACCTGCGTGTTTTCACCCTCACGGAAGGCTGACGCAACTCTCTGCCGCAGAAACGTCCCCAAATCACGGCTTTTCTTGCCATCGTCCCGCGGCCACTCCTCACACAGCTTTAAGAACCGACGGTACCTGGTAGCGGACATCTTTGGACATGTAAAGGTGATCGCGTTCGGTGAGGACGACTGAAGTTTGAGCTTTACTGCGTGCTGTACTTGTGTTACATCTAAACCCTTCCTCCTCCTGTCTGCTCCCCTCGTTGCTGCTGTTCCACTCGCTACATCCAGAGTTAGCAAGATGAGCGGATCAGAAGGTAAAAAGGGCTCTTCCTCCGGTGTGATGGAGTGGATCGGTTCAGCTTGTCGGTTTGCGACAGACAGAAACGACTTCAGAAGGTGAGCCGATGAAGCGATTAACCTGCCTGGTCGTTAGCCTAGAAGCTAAGGTTAGCACACACTGCGTCAGAAAGATCTGCTCTTGCCTCGTCCAGTCTCTCGGATTTCTGGACTAGTCCAGACTCTTCTGTCACTATCAAGGTCACTACTCTCAAGGCTGGATTGCCAACCAGGCCAAGTGGGCACCTGCCCCGGGGATCCCATAACTCCAGGGGCCCCTGAAGGCTCCTGGGCCACTGTATTTCAACTGGTTTAGTTGATAACTTGCTCTGGAAGCTGTACCATTAACGTTACAACAAAAGATTTACTGCCATGACCTTTGTGGGTCCTGCTTTATCATCTGGATCTGTCAGCGATGCTCCTGTGGCAAAGTCTCAAAACATAAATTTTTTGCGATAATATTGTGTGCACATTGGGAAATTAGCAGGACCTATATAGCGGCCAAAAATGGCTTACTTTACATTTACTCATTTGGCAGACACTTTTATCCAAAGCGACGTACATTTGAGGAACAACATACAATCTTACTTACTTATCAGTTGATAAGTAGCATGTCATTGCACACAATTGCCAAAATATCTCGACAGCCAAATGTCGTGTTTATGTTGGTCACATTAGAAAAAACAACTTTCTATGGATTCTCATCAAAAGTGTCGAAATGTTCCTGTGGCCCAGTATCATACACCTCACTCTGTCCCCTTTTGCAGTTTCTTTCTGCATCTACATTGTCTAGTAAATACAGATGTTTTCTCTATGTACATGTACATAATAATGACATCATTGGATATATTATTATCAGATTTTGCCTTAAAAGTCTAATAATGGTCAGGATATGATATTAAACTAATAAACCTGAGGCCAGGTATTCCAGCATAGAAACACAGAATGACAGCGGGAGAACAGGAGGTCCATCTGGCTATAGTCACTATGTTATTTTATTTTCAGCTTATCTTGAGATAGTTTTTCAAGTTGTATGTTTAAAGTTTTAATCCTGTAAAAATAAAAAAAATATTTGTAAATATTATTTAATTCAGGAATCTTCTGGTCAACCTGGGCCTGTTTGCAGCTGGTGTCTGGGTTGCACGAAATCTCTCCGATTTTGACCTGATGTCTCCTCAGCCCGTGACATAACCTGGTCAAAATACACCACAGCCAAAACCAGGATGATGGTGAGATCATCTTCTTTACTAGAGCTGTCCATTTGCATTCAGTTTACATTACTTTTAACCAAACTAATGGTGCGTTATGGTAGCAACCTTATTTATCGGGAAAAAACTCTGCTATAAGTTACAATTAAACTGACGTCACAGTCACAAATGATTATCATAAAGAGGTACATATAACCGACATGATATTTTTGTTCCTTTTCAGGTGTCTTGGACCAGCAAAAAAGAAACAAGGGACATCATCATTTTATTACTTTGTTACACTTTGAAAACAAATCATCTTGTTAACCTGAATTTGGTTCACTTTTCTGTTGAATAACTCTTTTCATGTCATCTTACAGTAGGTGGCTTGAAGACAAATAATTACGTTGAATCAGTCTCTCTGTCTTTTGTCATCGCTGACCTAGAAAACCTCTTTAGTTTTATTTTTTAATCCTCAAAACAATCAGTCACTGAAGGGTATTATTTTGGTACATTTAAAGGGTGCATTGTGTGATTTCTGCAGCCATGTCCACTCAGGAGTTCTTTGTTGCTTCTGCTCGTAAATGTCTGTCTACTGGTAGAAAGTCTCTCTCTGTCCCTCAGAGTCTGGACCTGGCTGCTCAGGTCTCGGCTGTTGATCTGGGATTAAAACCAGCTTTGTTGTACGATAGCAACGGCGCCAGTGCAGATCAGCTGCAGCAGTATTTGGTCTCTTTGCGGTCCTCCCAGCTCGTGTCTAAATCACTTCTCACGCTGGATTTGAATGGAAACGCTCTTATTGTTAATCCAGTTGCAGCCAGATCAAATGTGGAGCAGCTGTTTCACAATAACGTGGCGTTGATCGATGTCTGCCACTCCCTGGAGAAGCCCACCGTCACTGACCCGCTCAGAGGAGAGCTGAAGAGCGCGGCACGCGATTTACTGCTTCTCCTGAGAGGGTTTGAACAACAGATGGGGTCCGAGGAACCTCATTATGTTGGAGAAAAATCAGAGGGATGGAACCTGTGCACAGTGTTTGGCCTGTTATTGGGTTACCCCGTCACTTACTGGTTTGATCAGACCAAGAGCTTTGAGAACTGTCTGTCTATGACTCCCCTGATGGTGACTACAGCTTCAGCAACGTGGCAGGCAGACACCGCAGCGCACAGGTGTTGCCTGTACTCCTTCAGCGTCCCAGCTATTCTGCTTGAAGAGCTGCAGTCCAACCTGGAAAACTGGAGGCTTTGTTTACAAGAAAGGTTTCAGCAGCAAAATGTCCTGAGTGATCTTACAGTTTGTCAGTCCGCAGTCACTCTGCCTTCAGTCTGTTTGTGATGAAGTTTGTCGTTAAATTAAGCTGTCATAGAATGTTTGGGTTTTAATTTATCACTACATTAAACTGTGTCAAAACAGCTGTTCATTTCTTAATGAGCAGTACTATTCAGACCCTGAGACAGTGAACATACACAACCTACAATTTGAGAGAACTGATTAAAGTGACCAAATTACACATCAAATACTTGTATTTGTTTTTCTTTGTTCAGATTATGTGATTAATTTCCAGGGCGAACAACACCAATTATTCCACAGACATTTTAAAAGTTACCAATGTTTGTTTACCTGTATGTTAAATCATGTGCTTCAGTAAAGTATGAAAATTATGTTGTTTTATTTAAACAAAACTTTGATTTGGAATGATCCTACAACTCCAGTCTGAAGAAACAACTCTAAAGTATAAGTTCAATAAGCTTCACAAAACTAATGAATTAGGTGTATGTTATTTTAGCAGTATTTTGACCAACAGTATACAGGTGCATCTCAGAAAATTAGAATATTGTAAAAAAGTATTTTTTTCCCCATAAAGAAAGTGAAACTTTCATATACTAGATTCATTACACAAAATTAAATCTTTCAGATTAACATGCAGCAGTGAGAGTCTTGCATAATTTCCTGTTAGTATAAAAGTGCACTGGTTTAGTTAACTGAGACACTTCAGTTGTGTGGAGCCATCATTAATGATATTAGCTCCACTTGAGCCTTTTCTGCTATGACAAGTCACATTTTCTGCAGCCGTGGTATTGCACATTTTCTCTATCTTAGGAGCCTCTCTGAGCAGCTTCAGGGGACCAATTTAATTTGGTATCACCCATCATGTTAGGTAAATTTCATACTGACAAATGGTGACGATGTTTCAGAATGTAAATATTGTCAGGTTTGGTTAAATGTGCATGTATTGAATTGGCAGAACCATACATTTGTGGAAAGTGACGTTGGAAAATGTCCACCCTGACAAGTTGATGTACAAAGGCAAATCAAGCTTTTAAATTTTTTATTTTTTTTAATTACATTAAACAGCAAAAACAAATGTTGCATCAAATGCATCATGTATTCATTTACTTCAGACTGAGGTAAAACAAGATCCTGTTTGAGAATTTGCTGGACAAACACACAGTATGAACTCTCACGCTTCTTTACTTGTATAGTTAAACATTGTTTGACAAATCGAAAAAAGGGTCCATTTTACTGATTGTTAGCATTAAAAATATATACCTATTAATATATAAAACACAAAGCACACCCTTTAAAACCAGCTGCAGTAGATTTTGTATAATCTCTTGATTTACTTTCCAAACTTTTGTGAACTGCTCTCTATTGTGTTTTAAGTACCACATTACTTTCACAGTGTCCCTCATAACTCATATCATTTAAAAATAAGCAGCATCAGTATATGACAAGTGAACTGAGCCCAGTGGAGACAAACCCTGTGGCTGACTCACCCATTTCAGCTCTCCAGTTATCGTTTCACAGCCTCCAACTTTAAACTCCGGGCCTTCAGACAGTGAACCAGCACATCACAGCACTACATCACCTACTGCACATATTCTATGAAACACAGTAATGCCAAATACAGTACAGCTTGACTCTTTCTGTTTCTCCTGGCAGGGTAGATGTCCCTCTGTTTGTTGGACCAAGATATTGATCCCCTGGCACACTATTTTAATGTAGGACAAATCTAATTTTAACTGTTGATATGTCAGTTTTTGCTTTACTTTGAAAACAGCAGCAAAATTCTCCTGGCAGAGAAGTGCAGTAGATGCTCTAGGCTCCTCTTCCAGCCATCCCGAAGTTCATTATGTTGTTTACCTGTTTAAAGTTCGAGGTAGTTTTGACCAGCTTAATGCAGTATATCCAAACTGCATGTCTTTGACAGTCAGAGAGGTTGAATGGCTGACAGCACTTCACCACAGCGGCCGCTTACTTTCAGCTCGGCCAGGTGGTCTGCCCTCGTGGACCCAATGTTCAGGATGGCGACTGGCATTTTCCTATCACTCGCTGCTAGTAAAAACCTGTATCCTGAATATACCTTGGGAGTAACAGAGAGTCACAATTAAAATACAAAAATCCAGAAGGATTGTATTGTATACTTGTGTTATCCTGATCAAGCTGCTGTAGACATTCCTCTAAAAACCCTACCTGTAACGATGAACCCACAACCAGCACCGCATCCGACTCTGCCAGTCTGTCGTGCACTGACTGTACCGTCACTCTGTTCACAGTGTCCCCAAAAAAAGTGACCTCAGGCTTCAGTATCCCTCCACAGAACTCACAGGAGGGAACTCTGAAATGGAGGACCTGCTCGTCCTCTAAGAAGACATCACCGTCCGGAGCCACGGCGCCAGCCTGCGCTCTCCAGTCCGGGTTTAGTGCTAAAAATCGCTTCTGGAGTTCCTCCCTGGCGGAGATGGTACCACAGCCTAGACACATCACCCTGAGGACACACATATGAGCATCAATTATTCATCTTTAAACACATTTTACTAGATAGGCATGTGGATGGTGACTCAAAGGGTCAGGTGGGTTACCCAGATGAAAACTATACAAGCAACAATATGTAACAGTTATAGTCTTTTTACATAAATCCTGGACAAACTAAAAATACTGACAACTATTAGAGCTGGTTTACGTTTGTCATATGTGTCAGCGGATGCTTTCTTGCCTGTGGGAACAGCCGTGGAGCTCGGTCATTGCTTTCTGTCCTGCCTTTGAATGGAGAGCATCCACATTTTGTGTAACCAGCCAGTGCAGCTTGCCTCTCTCCTCCCACCGCTGCAGGACCTTGTGTGCGGAGTTGGGCTGACGGGAGGAGAACTGCGGCCAACCGACAAAGTTTCTGGCCCAGTAGCGCTGACGAGACTTTGCACTGCGGACAAACTCTGCATGCTGCATGGGTCGCCTGTCGGTGCGAGCGTACAGCCCGACACCCTCCGAGCGGTAATCAGGGATCCCTGACTCTGTGGAGAGTCCTGCTCCAGTGATCACAAACAGGCGTCTGGCTCGGGACACAAACTCCTGCAGTAGCTCCAGGGAGTGGGCATCAGTGGTGCTGCAGGGGGGGACAAAGCTCAACACACCTGCAGGGGCTGAGAATGCCCTCCTCATGGGTGCTGCTGTGTGTAGTGTGAGGATCCGCCATGGCAGTCTCATCTACAGCAAGACAAACAGAACTGATTATTGTAACTGAGCCCTCCTCCTCTCCTTCAGGTAACAAGTCAGGTAACCTAGCCAAGAAGCTACACGACTACATGCTAGTATGGCACTTACTTAAAACGACATTTAATTACATTACAATGTGCTGATAAGAACAAACTAAATGAAAGTAAAATATTAAATTGTTATAGCAAGAAACCGTCACTGGGCTACTTTCCAAAAGTGCACGTTTGGTTTCAACCGGTGACTAACGTTAACAGCTGCAATGTCAGATAACGCCAGCTAGCTAACTTTGTTCTTGTACGTTAGCTACTGTACCTTATTTGTGAGTTACAACAGCTGCTACAGTTTTAAGTTACTGTAGGAACACTGTGGCAGCAGGTACGAAGTGTCGGTTGAGTAACATCACAAACCAGAACAGCCTGATATAATATGGGAACCGTTGTCCGAGAGTGACAACAGGAAATACCAGGATTTACGTGACACCAAACACTGTCGCGCTGTACTCTGGGAGTTGTAGTGTAAAGAGTTTAAGCTTAAACTTGCCGTGGTGGTGTATTTTTTTTGGTCAAAGTGTAGCCTACTTATTTTGTTTCTGAAGAAATCAAAATAGATAACATTTATTTAACACAGCCATAAAAATCAATTTTTTCTTCATGACAAACAGTAGCTCAAAGGAGTCAATATCTTAAAATTATCATTAAAAGTGATTACCTAAACAGGAAACATATATAGAATAACATAACACATAATACATAGGTACTGTAACCTTTGTTA